CTCTTTCCCATTTACACTGCATTTGAGCGTGTCCAGTTTGTACACGTGTGTAAAAACTTCCCAGCCTAGCCCCAATTTGACTCAACTTGGTCTGAAGATATGGCCACGCTAAGCGATGCAAACAGCTACGGCATAGGAAAAGTTCATGCTTCAAACAAACAAACAAACAAAAAAAAGGATGACAGCCACCCCAATTTGTGTTTGCAGCTAGGATCCTCACCCAAGCTAGCCAGTGCTGCAGTAGTTAAATCTGATGGTGTGGTCAAAGTAGCACTGGCTCTTGCCTCCAAGCTGGTAACACGAGGGCACAACCGATGCCAAAAACACACTCCATGCATGACTTCTCTACAGATAGGACTCGTAACATGCAATAATTAAGCATTACTTCATGTATTTTAGCTTAATAATGATACTTCATATATTTTAGCTTAATAATGATGACAGTAAGAAAAGAGAGAAAAATAGGTGTTTATTATTATTATTATAGAAAGCACAGTATTATAATATTCAAAGACTCATTATAAAGAAATAATCTGCAAATGCATTTGGCAGAAAGTCTTGGATTGTTGTGCTACACCGACTGCACAAGGAGTCAATTCATAGTGGACAGAGCTACTTCAACAACCCACTGCCCTCTCTTTCACACATTTCAAAACCAAAAACTGACATATTCCTACAAGCATTCTGATCAGCGTAATTACAAGTTACCTGAGTTTATGTTCTTAACTTTATTCTACATTGTCAGAAAATCAGGGCCTGGATTACACAGCAATTGTGAACACAAAATATATATATACCAAAAGCAGAGGTAATACTACTTGTATCATAGAGCATTTAGTTTGTTTTTCCCCCTCCTCATCACCAGTCTCATAAGGAAATGAGACGGATGAAAATTCTTCTAAGTAAAGAAAATAAGTTACCTCCTCCAGCAATCTGGTATGAACACACAGGTTGAAAATTCAAGATTAGCACCCCTAAAATATTAACAGTGGCAGACAGACGTTATGCTGGACAGCATTACGCCTCATTTTCTCTCCTCCCTTATCTGCTGGATTTCAAAACCAGAAAACCCAACACATTCTGCTCAGGTTGGCATGATCAGGAAGACAAACACCACCTGACAAACAGGAAACGGCATGCGGTTTGGGGTATTATCCAAAGGTCGTATTTGTGCTGATGCAGTGAAAATGAGCTTGAGTCACAGCAGTTTCTCCTGTGTGAGGGTATCTGCACGGGGTTCTGGTTATTCCGCTAGCACCAGCCCTCCACGGCGGCTCCCAGCTGGCTGCAGAGCTTAGCGTGCACAGGGGGCCCTCTGCACTCACAGGGGGTCCCCACGGACACCTGGTTTTGGTCTACTTCAGCAGCCAGAGATCATCCCCCCACTTCTGCCCCCCACCCAGCTCGGTTTAAAGCAGAGCTTGAACTACTCCACCAAGGTAAGAAAGTCTCACAGCACCAATATCAAAGCTCTTGTGCAGCCTCTCCCTCCTGACCCAGCTGTCCGGAGCAGGGGTGGTTCTTGCCCAGACACACGGACGGTGACCGGGACAAAGCACGCCGTCACGCTGCAAACACAGGTTCACACCTTACAGCAGCCCCAACCTCTGTACGCACTTCTCTGTGGCACTAATTGGACAAGCACAAGTTTTTCTTTCAGAAATAGCCTCCCCTTAACTGAAAGGATCAAACACAGTACAGAAAACCTCACCTAAGCCAAATGTCATCCACCCATTTAATTTTCACCTTTGTTAAATAATGTAATTGTCCCGGAAACGGTTCTTCAGCAATCCTGACAGCCAGCACTAGCATACAAGCTGTCCTCCACAGAGAAGTGAAGCACAGTGGGTATGCTAGGGCAGCATGCAGCGGCAGTAAACAACCCTGAGCTTGCTTTGTTCCTTCATAAAATAAATGATTAATAGCTCAGTATAGTCAGTTTGCTATTCAAAGCTTGCTGAAAACTTTTGATCAGTTTGATTCATTAACCTTTAAAACCGCCTCTAAAAGAGGCTTAAAAGCTGAAGCATGATTGTAAAATGAACACTTCAATTTTAGCCAGAAATCCTCATTTTTGACAAACTGAGCTAAGCATTGAGACACTCTGCTCCTCTTTAGAGGTGCTCAGCATCTCACAGTCAGGTGCCAAGAAATAACAAGGTAAAATAAAGTTGATGTAGACAAACAAAACCATGTTAATCTTAAAATTCAAAACCGATCAGGGCTGGGGGGAGAAAATGGCACTACTTTGTGATTCTTAAGCATTTGGCCGATTTGCAGGTGGCTTCCCAACTGCCTCTTTATTTCTTTTGCTTTTAATGCTAATAAAAAAGGAAGACAAACAGGGGACTCAATTCCCCACACAATGCACTGGGGGAGGGCAGGGAGTGTAACTTATGTATCCCAAAAGTCTGACTCAGACAAATTACTTCTAGTTCACTTCCCTACTACACGCCTGCATTGTTCCAGCACCTCGGTAGCATAAGGGGTTCATCCCCAGCTATCTGGTCACAGAAACGGCAATGCCGACTAATGCCGTTAAAGAACTGTTCCAATTACTTCCCTGGAGAAAAAAAAGTGACTTGCAGCTTAACGTCCTGCCCCAGCGCAGCGGGAAACCAACCGTCCGCAAACGCCCGGCTAATGGCTGCTGTTAGACGGGACCCGCTCCTGGGATGAGCCGCAGTTTGTCTTCCAGGGACGGCAGCTGGTTCCTGGATCACAAGTACAGATGGTTTGAGGCTCAGGCACGATTTGCTTTGAAAGTGAAGTTGGCGATAGATTCCCAAGAGAAAAGGGGCGTTTTGAACCAAGGACGACTGATGGCCACTGCTGCCAGGCTGATACTAGGAACTTGCTTGTTTTCGCCATCTAGAGAGGACAAAGATACTACGGCAGCATCAAAAGGACAGGACAGGTCACTCGTCCTTCACATGGCCAGAGAAGTGCTTCACAAGCAGCCATATGGTTGCAGTGGCAGAACTACTAACAGAAGAAAATGATTTCACCTCTAAGGGAATAACAAGCCTTTCTCAGAGAAAGGATTGCCAGCTATAAATGAGAAAGGTTAAAAACTTCTTACAGACACACAGCTCACATAACCGGCTTGCATCATCTTTTGCTACAATAATTATACATGGTCAAGGATTTGCAGGTCTAATAGTTCTAGGGAGAACTTCTCAAGCCATGGCTGCCAGATTCTGGAAGGGTTTTCTGAAACCCCATCAAAGCTTGTAGGAATCCAGCAATATTAGCAGAATATTAACATTCTTATTTGGAACAATATTGAGGCTTCTGACATAAAAACAGAGTGCTGCACTCGCGCTGCTTCAGATACGCAGTGGTGGAAATGAAGACATGACGTTTATAAAGGAATCGGACCTCACCTGTAGCTTCAGTATTTTTTCTTTACTTGAATCTTTAAACTTATCTACACCAAACAAAATATTTAACTATAAAGAAACAAAACCAATTCGTAACTTCTGTAGCTTTCCTGGGGTCTATCTGATTAAATACCGATTGGTGTTCAAATTCAAGGACCCAGTACAGACCATAATAGCAGGTGATGTTCACAGTTGAAGGCACCACGGACAGTTATTATGACAAAGGAGTATCTTGTCTTTTGGGCACCAAAGGTGAGGATGTCATGGATTTGCATGGGATGAGCACAAAGAAGCTTCCGCCTCCACACTGTAAGATCTCACAGTGAATGTAGTCAGATTCAGCATTAGATTCAGTTCAAGAGCCAGAAGACTCTAGCCCTACTTGACCTGAGACACTCAGGACGTGATTCAATCCCAAACATCACAGCACCAGACAGACTGTGGGGAGGGGGACATTTAACTCTTCCTCTTACTGACACAGAGAGTGGCAAAATAAAGAGCAAAGCAGCACTCAGATGATGGATAATAGTAATAAAAGAGCTTAAGAGGACAAGGAAAAACGACTTAAGAACTCGAGACTTTTTTTTCTGCTCAGAACCTACCTGAACTTAAACATACTGTTTCGGTTGGACCATTAAATACGACAAACTGCTAGAGCCTGGACTGTAAAGTGGCATCAGTGCCATTATGAAATAACGAGGTCAGGTCAGGATGGAAAAGTGGATGGGTACAGGGAGACCTAACCTTTTCTAAATGAGAAGTACAAAAGGAGCAAATAAGATAGTCCTGATTGAGACAAAAGGGAACAGTTAGCACAGGGTGCTTAACGACTCTCTTGTGATATCACCACATAAAGCCAGTGTGACAAGAATTATTTTAATGTACATCATTAAGTGAATGGTATAGTGTTATACAGCAGTGTAAGTGCTTTTTACTATTAACAGTTTGGTTTTATTAATTTTAAAACAGTTTTTGTTCTTTCTCAGCTATCTAGTCAATCTTCTGTTAAAGCCCAATGTGTGCTGCACTATTCCCGGGGCTCAGCAGTGTATTTTTAAGAGGAAGATTCACTTGTATATTCATCCGTGGCCTCAACCTGGCTCAGCAACAAGCCTGCACAAACTACAGGTACATTCCAGTTTGATTAGAGCTAACACATGCCACTGCTCTGGAGGGTAGATTCTGGACCTAAGAGAAACCCATGTGCTTATCTTCCACCAAAATAAAAGTGCTTGCTAAAAGTGTTGCTTGCTTTTCCGTATAAAGTACCCAGTGTGATATCTGAGGGCGTGCAATGTGCCTCAGCCTGTTTTCAAAGGAGTCTAAGTTGCGTAACTGTTTTTGGTATTTAGTTCAAGCAGCTTTTAAAAACTTTACAAATAAGTTTAAAATAATTACAGGCTATTAATTAGTGCACTCTGCAGAGGGACAGATTCAGCCCAAGTGCATGAAAGAAACCGAGCAAAAATAGTCCTTCGGAGCCTTACTTAACAGGCTTGTACCAGACAATCTTAACAGCTTTATTCTCAAACATCTTATTGCCTCCCTAAGGGAAAACTGCAGAGAAGCCCTCTTCAGGAGCACACAACTGTCCTTGTAATACTTTAAACAAGATTTACAGTCATCCACAGAAATCAAGAAATTATGTCCCTGCTTTCACACCTGAGCAGGTTCCCCCAATACCATTACACTATGGTCAGCAGAGCAGCACAAAAAAACGCTTCTCTTGTTTCTCTTGATTCAGACAATCCCCAAAACATTTTTTTCATGATTAGACATACTCAGCAGGGTATCATTTTATAAGTATATCTAGTTTCTTTAAAAAATAAAAACACATACTTATAGGGAAAACAAGGCGTCTTTTAAAAAAGGCTTACGTTAACTCAAGATTCCCAAGGCATTTTACTCTCACTGAGGACTGCAACAAGTTTCTGTGGGGTATTTACTTGCTCTGAACAGAGCCAAGAGAAGACTAATCGGAACATTTTGGCCAGGACATAAGAAGCAACTGTGCTTGATAGACAGAATAACATTTTCCCTTAGCTGCTGGAAGGTACCATCCCATTCAAAGGTGTTTTACAATGAACCACCTACTTGCTGTCTGTCCTTTTGTTATAAATGAGAAAGTCAGAAATGTCATGCCATTCATTGCTATCATCATACAGGTAGGTCATGGAGGACTGCAGAGAAGGCTGCAGAGTTTGCCGGTGGTATTCAAAGAGCCAGAGAACTGTCCCCCATATCAGAGCAGCGACAAGTGGAAAGGGATCCTGCTTTGGCTGTGGGACATAGCCCTTATCCACTGCCAGCCGAGACAAGCCGAACAGGATACGAGACAACAGGTACATAATGATCTGCATGAAGAGAAAACCCAAAGAACATTAAGTAAATAGCCTGAGCAGGTATACTAGCCAGGTTAAGTGATTTAGAGAGGGGTGGAAACAATTTACCCAACTTAACAGCAAACAGGCTGTAGGTTCACATATCAAGCAGCCTTTATAACTGGAGATGTTTGTCTTCCCTACGTCCTCAAAGTCCTACTTCTCTGCTGGTGCTCTAATTCAGTCATCAACAAGTTACACTTGATGTAACATATCTTTGCAGTTGCACAATTTTTCTTTGCTCAGTTAATGCTACCTCAGATGCTGCTGCTGATAGAATAGTCACGGAGCAGCCCTGCTAACCTGCCAAGCAGATACAAACTATGACCGGACACACCCTAAAACCAGACTGCAAGTATGCTCTTGCAGGGGACCACAAAAGTGAAACACTTTTAATTAATCTGCATCTGTGTGTTTTACTGACTGATTAATCTGTGACTGAGTGTTAACAACCAAACTTCCCCTGAGCAGCTTTTGTCAGTTTAACCAGCTTAGTTAAGTGTAGCTCAGTAGCTGATTGTGCTCTACACTCACAATGTCCAAGCTACAGGATTTAGCCCTGCAAGTGGGCAGACTAGGAGCACACGCAGTCAGTCACCACAGCTCAGATGACAGGCGGGGTAACCCAACGGCTTCGGATTGCCTGCCTGCCTTCCTTCCTAGGCATACAAGTGCAGCTCTGGAGGTGAACCTGGTCTTTTAGCTCTCAAACTGCACACACCGTTCATGAAGGCATGTGAACACCTCTAGGATTTGAGTGCAGCACAGCTAAAACCAGAACTTGTGCAAAGAGAAACATAATAAAAGACTAACGCTGCACGATGAGAACCACCAGAAACACACCAGGCTATACCAACCACTTCCTGGCACACAATCATCCATCTGTTGTTTTTTTTTGTCAAGGAAACTTTCAACAAACAGATTTACCTGGCTGTTGATGGGATTGTTCTCACCGAACACTAGCCAACCTCCAATGCAGGCTGCAAAGAAAGAATGAAATGGAATTTTTTCCCCCTGTAGTCGGGACTGCAACGCCATCAGCCCCTTGTAGGTGAACACAAAATACGCCAAGTTCCGGGAATGAGTGTACGTAGCCTGAGCAATCGATTTCAATTTCTCTCTTAAACTGAAGAAAAGAAACAGACAATTAGAAGCGCAAAGAGGCAGTACCACTGCAGTCACTCAGCCTGGACGCTACACCCCTCTGGCCTGTCCGCCTAGACTGATAGCTTGGGCACCCCACAGAACACCTGCTTTGTGAGGGAGGACATACGCCTTCACCCCTGGCTCACTCATCAGAATACTTTCAACAGCTCTACTTAGACAGTGAATTCTGCTTTTGTCTCATTCTATGAATAGTCAAGGAGCCTTTTTTTTATTATTATTTTTTACTTTTTGCCTAAGTGCAAACCTCTGGCATAAGTGAGGAAAGCCACAACAGGCACTGCTTGGTTTCCCTTATTTGAATGGAGAGCAGAGCGCTGCTGTTGCATCTGCTAATTTCTCCTGTGCCCACTGGTTCTCATCAACCACAGCACAAGCGGCTGACCCCCACGAGCACGTATATTTGTGTACGTGTGCGCACACAAGTTGTCCTGTGTAGCCATCAGAACAACGGGCTATGACCACGGCTCATGCATCCTTCTGCTTTTTAAGCGCTCTGGGAACACAAAAGATTGAATGCTTGAATGAAAGCATTCTAAGCAGTAACACAGAAATACAGAACTAGGGTTCGTACCTTCCACTCTTGAACAGGAAAGTCATCACCAGGGCATGGGGGGCACGAATTTTTGCTCCATAACTGCAAAAGTGAATAGGTATTTCAGACTTTTTGTATTACGCTACCAAATGATTGTATTTCTATTTATTAACAGCCAAAAGATGCTACTTAAGCAACTACATGTTAGTTTTCAGTCAGCCCAGTAGCAGCAGCACACCAAACCAGAGGGAGGCCAGGCCACAGGCTTAAGGGCCCGGGCACCCCAATAAGCCAGGCCCAAAGGGGAGCCCACTAAAACCCCACTTATCCATGAGGGAGACAGAAACGCCTCTTCTGAACCTCTACCACAACAGCCCCGGTCTCCTGGCAGGGAAGGAGGGCACACGGCGGCCCTCCCGCTGCCCGGAGGGAACCGAGACGCCGCCCCCCACGCACACACCGGGCCCGGCGCCCCTCCCTCCCCTCAGACGCCCCCGCCGCACTCACACGGCCCCGTTGCGGCAGCCCTTGAGAACGGCGAGCGCGGCGCGGTACCGGCGCTGCTGCAGGAGGGCGTTGGCGGCGCGGAGCAGGGCGCGGAGCGCG